TTACTCCTGCCATTTTGTTAATTTTTCTCTGGTGGTTTTATAGATCCTTTCTTCCTTTCTTGCTCTTTTATTTACTTCTGTGGTTTGGTGGTTTTCTGTGGTGCGGAGCTTTGTTTCCTTTCTCTTTCCTGCTTGCGTCTCTGCGGTAATTTCTTTGTGACTACCATGGGGCTAACATTACAAGTCTTATAATAGAATGTTTTAAGCTGATAGCAACTTAACTTTGGTTGCATTAAAATACTCTAGACTTCTCTCTTTGGATGCTATAATTTACTCTTATTGTGTTCCTTAGATACTACTTATAACTGTCATGGGTTTTGACCATTTGACTTTAAACCTTTGTACTAGAGGACTGAGATACTTACATAGCATCATTACATCACTGGGCTAGTCTGAATTTGATTTATGAATTTACCTCTACTGGTGAGTTTTGCATTTTCACATCTTTTCATGAAAGTAATTATAATCTTTTTGTTTCCAGTTATGCCAGTCTCTTAAGTGTTTCTTGTAAGGCTGGTCTAGTGGCAATGTATTTTCTCAGCTTTTGCTTCTTTGGGAAGGTCTTTATTTTTCCTTCATTGGTGAATGATAGTTCTGCTGGATACAGTATTCTTGACTGACACGTTTGTTTGTTTTTTTCCCCCAAAACTCTGAATATATCATCTTATTCTCACCTGGCCTACAAGATTTTTCCTGAGAAATCCAGGGGGACAGGGCTGCTGCTTGACCAACTATTTTTTCTTTTTTATTTTTTTTCATTTATTTTTTTAAAGACGGGGTTTCGCCATGTTGGTCAGGCTGGTCTTGAACTCCCGACCCCAGGTGATCTGCCCACCTTGGCCTCCAGAGTGCTTGGATTACAGGCATGAGCCACCACGCCCAGCCTTGCTTGACCAATTATTAGGCCAAGCATGGGTACGGCAGGGCCACACAACCCTGCAGTGATCCGTTTTGGGGGCAGGGCTGTCGCTAGACTGACTGTTGGGCATAGTGGTGTGTGGCCACAGCAGGGTTGGGTGGTTCTGCAGTGGTCTGAGTGGTGGAACCACTGTAGGATTGGTTGTTGGGCTGGGCGTGGGTGTGCATGGGTTCAGCTGGCCATCTGGCTGTGCAGTGAAGCTGTATACCTTTGAAGGGACTGGCCAGCAGTTAGGCAGTTTCCCCCTGTGCAGGTTTGGCTGTTCCTGGGGTTGGGAGAATAGTGTGCCACATGGGTTCAAGTGTAGAGATCTCAGTTGTTCCATCTGGCCTAGGCTTCAGGCACCTAGGATTGTAGTGCTACAGGCACCTGTGGCATCATGGTGGAATGATGGCAGGGCTATAGGAATGGAGAAAGTCAATGGCTACTGGACCACAGAGAAGGGCACACTTTAGTAGTAGGTCCAGTTTCAAGAGGGCACTGAGTAGCAGCAGCTTAGGTTGTGAGGGTTGGGGGAAGAGAGTGCTCAAGGTGGGCTCCTGCTCTAGGAGCTTTTATCTGCATGAACTCCTGATTACTCTTCAAACTGGATTCAATGAGGACTGGGGGACTTTCCTGTAGCAAGAATTTCTGGCATTTGTGGTAGCAGTGGGGATCACTGGTGATCTCCAGCTTACTCTTTCTTCTTAAGAAGTCTCCCCTGGCTCCAGGCTGATCCTGGTTGGGGAGACAGTGTGGCAGAAGCAGAATGCCTTGCTCCCCTCTCTATGGTGCTGCCCTGGGCTTTTGTGCTTCACAGGGATTTTGCTGCTCCCCTGGTGCTCTCGAGTACTTTGGTCGTTTTAGTTGAAATTTAGTTGTTTATTCATTGTTTTGGTCCCTTTTTGTGGAGAAGATGGGCTTTAGATAACTCAATTTGGCCATCCTGCTGACATCACTCCATCTTATATAGGGCATTATTATTATTATTATTATTATTATTATTATTATTAAGACAAGGTCTGGCTCTGTTGCCCAGGCTTAAGTACAGTGGTACAATCTCAGCTCACTATAACCTCTGCCACTCGAGCTCAAGGCGCCCTCCCATCTCAGTCTCACAAGCAGGTGGGACTATAGGAATGTGCCACTGTGCCTGGCTAATTTTTATATCTTTTGTAGAGACAGGGTTTTGCCATGTTGCCCAGGTTGGTCTCAAATTCCTGGGCTCAAGCCATCTGCCCACCTGGGCCTCTCAGAGTGCTGAGATTATAGGCATGAGCCACTGCTCATGGCTGCTATTATTTTTAAAGGGATTAATACATTTAAAAATTTTTTAATTTTATTTTTATTAAGATGAATATGAATCCCCATATAAATAAAAGTTCACTGGGGTTCTCAATAATTTTAAAAAATATTAAAGGATCCTGAGACCAAAACAATTTGAGAATCACTGCTCTAGATATTAAAATAACAATTAAATCTATTCTAAGAACAACTTTATGCCACTAAATGTGATAAGATATACAAAATGAAAAATTCCTTAAACAATTACCAAAACAAAATTGGAATAAGCCTAATTCTATTAAAGAAATTGAACCCTGGCCGGTGCCTATAATCCCAGCACTTTGGGAGGCTGAGGCGGGTGGATCATGAGGTCAAGAGATCGAGACCATCCTGGTCAACATGATGAAACGCCGTCTCTACTAAAAATACAAAAATTAGCTGGGCATGGTGGTGCATGCCTATAGTCCCAGCTACTCGGGAGGCTGAGGCAGGAGAATTGCTTGAACCCCGGAGGCGGAGGTTGTGGTGAGCCGAGATCACGCCATTGCACTCCAGCCTGGGTAAAAAGAGTGAAACTCTGTCTCAAAAAAAAAGAAAAAAAAAAAAAAAAAAAAAAAAAAAAAAGGAAAAAGAAATTGAACCCTTTATTTAAAACTTTCCCATAAGGGCTGGGTACAGTGGCTCACACCTATAATACCAGCACTCTGGGAAGTTGAGGTGGGAGGATTGCTTGAGCTCAGGAGTTCAAGATCAGCCCAGGCAACATAGCAAGACCTCATCTCTACTAAAAATCAAAAAAGTTAGTCAGGTGTGATGGTGTGCACCTGTAGTCCCAGCTACTTGCAAGGCTGAGGTGAGAACATTGCCTGAGTCCAGGAGATCAAGGCTGTAGTGAGCTATGATTGTGCTACTGTACTCCAGCCTGGGCAACAAAGTAAGACTCTGTCTCAAAAATAAAAAACAAAAATAAAAAATAAAACCTTCCCACCAGGAGCACTGTAAACCCAAATGACTTGATTGGTGAACTATTCCAATCATTTAAGGAGGAAATAACCCAAATCTTACACAAATTCTTACAGAAACAGACATGTTGAGAATATTTGCAATTCATATAACCTGAATTCACAAAGGTGACCAGCATATTTCAAGAAGGGAAAATTATAAGCCAATTTCTTTCATGAACATGGTAGAAATAATAAACGAAATAATAGTGAATATGTTTAAAAATCTATATAAAAAGATGGTACATCTTGACCAAGTTGAGTTTTTCCCAAGAATTCAATATTGTTTTATCATTCAAAAATTATTCAATGTAATTCACCTTACTAATTAGAAAAAAGGAGAAAAGAGGTCATCTCAATATACGGGGAAGAATAGCATGTGATAAAGTTCAGCACATACTAATGATTATGAGAAACCCTTTTAGTCTGTTTTCTATAGGAAACCTGCTTTAATTTGATGAGTGGTATCTGCATAAATCTTACAACAAACATTACACTTAATGATAAAATACTGAAAGCATTCTCTTTAATGGCAGGGTTACAGACAATAAAAACTTACTATCATCACTGCATTTCAGTGTGTCCTGGAGATTCTAGCCAGAGCATTAAGGCAAGAAAATAAATAAAACAGCAAAAATCAGAAAGAATAAATAAAATTCTCATTTTACGGATGACATGATTCTGTGTGAACAGTAATACATTTATAAACACAATAGTCCCCCATTATCCATGGGAGGTACATTTTTTCTTTTTGAGATGGAGTTTCACTCTTGTCACCCAGGCTGGAGGGCAGTGGCATGATCTCAGCGCACTGCAACCTCCGCCTCCAGGGTTCAAGTGACTTTCCTGTCTCAGCCTCCTGAGTAGCTGGGATTACAGGAGCCTGCCACCATGCCTGGCTAATTTTTGTGTTTTTAGTAGAGATGGGGTTTCACTGTGTTGGTCAGCTTGGTCTCGGACTGCTGACCTCAGGTGATCCGCCTGCCTTGGCCTCCCAAAGTGCTAGAATTACAGGCATGAGCCACCTCGCAATGCATTTTAAGACTTCCAGTGGATGCCTGAACCTACAGATAGTACAAAACCCTATGTAAATAGTATGTTTTTTCCTATAAATACATATCTATGCTAAAGTTTAATTTATAAATTAGGCACAACAAGAGATTAACAATAATATTAATAACTAATAATAAAATAGAACGGATACCACAAAATGCCAGCATCACTATTCTTGCACTGTGGGGCCATTATTAAGTAGAATAATAATTACTTGAACATAAGCACTGTGATAAGCACAGCAGTGCATGATTTGCATCTCGGGAGAGACAGAATAGAACAGCACAAAATTTGACCACACTATTCAGAACAGTGCACAATTGAAAATTTATGAATTGTGTATTGGTGGGAGTTTTCATTTAATATTTTCAGACCACAGTTTACCATGGGCTACTGAAATCACAGAAAGCAAAACCACAGTTAAGGGGGGACTACTGTAATGACTTGGATTCTATAATGTTTACTGGTGGTTGATAGCATTTCTGTCATTTTGACTTTGCCTAGTTCATTCCTAGAGTGTAGAAATCTCTTTAGTATGTGGAAGCAGGAGTATGTGGAAGCATTTTGTCATTCCTCAAGTATATGCAGCAAAGATCAAAGTTTTTTTTTTT